GTCATAGAAATGTGGTATGTTATTTCAGTTATTCCTAAATTCAGCTCACAGTGACCAGCAGTGCCTTTAGGAAACTTGCTCAAGCCAAGGGGTCGGTTGCACCCCATGTATGGTATGGAAAAGTCATATACAAGGACAGTAGCCAGTAAGAAGTGGAAAATAATGGAGCCATGAACCGTGTTGGCCTTGGCACTGCTGCAGTTAGACAAACCTGCCCAGAACAAGGGTCTGGGATCCTTCCTGCTGTGGATTTCAGTTAGGCTGTGGGAGTTGGGACACGGCAGCAGGCTGAGTACTGGGAGGGACTCAGCAGTTAATCTCCTTTTCTCCTCCAGTTCCCTGGTCAGTACGAATGAACATCTCCTGCAGGAGTTGGGCCGTACCCGGGCACAACACAGAGCTGAGGTAGAGCAGATGCACTGGAGCTTCCAGGAGTTTAAGAAGACCACTGCCCTGTTCCCGCACCATAGTTCCCGCCTCGGTGGCCGCCAGTCTTGCTAGCTGTTCTCTCCTTCATCAGCTACAGCTCCAGAGTTGCACCTGGGCATGCATCTATCTGAATTCCTGGAGAGACTGTAATGACCTTAGGGTCCTCCAGATGTTTTCACGGTCTGAAGTTCAGTTTGCTTAACGTGTCCTAACGTGGTAAAGTCAACCCTGGGGCTTTGCCATATTTGAAACACATCCTGTTGTAAAGTAGTATTTTTTCTTCCTAATTCATGAAAGTATTATATAATTAAAATAAGTTTTCATGTGACAAGCAGTCCTTATTTAAAGAACTAATAATATTGTTACGTTTAAGAAGTAAACATTTTATGTGGCTCTTTATAAATTATAACTGATTTTCTCATTGAATTCGTCAAAACAAGTTACATACAATAAGTAACAGTAAGAAATAAGTTCCAAGTTGTAATAAAAATAGCACTTATAAATATGAAAAACACTTTAAGAATTTGTATAATGTTAACATGTCATAGTTAAAAAAAATCTCCCCACTCCCTACCTCACCCTTTGCTTGCAATAACTCCTGCAAATAAGCAGACTATTCAGCCAAAAGCGAGGGGAATAATTAAATGCACACTGTACAAAATGAAGCCCAGATGACTGGATATGTGAAGAGTGCTCATTAGAAAAGGCAAAGTTGATCCCCCAGGAAGATGCTCCTTCTGGTGTGAAGCCCGTGCAGACAGTGCCGGTGCTGCCGAGTACGGTCACTCTGGGGACTGCTGGGTTGTTTGAAAAGCTATTGTGAATGTGCTGAAGGAAACATGAACATAGTGGAAATAAAGCCTCACTAAGAAAGGATTCTGAATATCTGAAAATTTTTGAGCATCGTTTTGGTGTCCAAATATTAACACTTGGACTAGGAGTGCGTCTCCATGTAGAGTGCCTGCCGGACACACAGGAGGCGCGCACTGAAGGGGGCAAATAAAAACATGAAACACAGGAAGATCTACACTTTTCTCATTAGGAATACTCCTTTTTATTTTCTAATAGTGTTTCCGAGAGAACTTTCTAACTTTATTCTGGTTCTGTGGGTCAGTCTTTTAATTATTAACAAATTTGCGGTACTATTTTTTTCTAATTTTCCCTTTGTGGTCTTCGTAATACTGTAAAATAAATATCTGGTTTGTGTTGGTTTTCAAACACACAGCACCTAGAACCTTTAGACTTTCTCAAGGGTGGTATCATTGTGTGCTAATGAGTTGTCTTCTGGCCAACTCCAAGTGGCTTCAAGATGTGGCTGGCCACTGGAAAGATAGAGGCAATGTGACCCCCAACCCTAAGCTCCCAGAAGTGAAGGGGATGCTGGTTAAATTGATCACCAGTGACCAGAGTTAGTAATGCCTACATAACACAGTTTCCTCAGAAAGTCAAGAGGACTGCGTTCAGAGAACATCTGAGCAGCTGAGCAGCTGGAGGTTCCTGGAGGGTGGTACCCAGAGAGGGAGCTCTACACCTTCCCACACCTCATCCCACCTCTCTCGTCTCTATCCATTGTAGGGACTTTATAATTGTTAATGTGCTTTCTAAGTTCTGAACTCTGCCTAAGCAAATTAGTTGACTCTAAAAAGGGAGTTAAAAGAACCATAGTTTTTAGCCAGTCAGAAACAGGAAATGTGGACTTGTATAGCATGACTAATAAAAACCCAGAGACTGATATTGGGGTTCAAGCCAAAGATCAGAAAAGCAAAGCATCCAAGCCAGTAGAGAGCTCTTGCCTCTATGAAATCTTCAGACTGAAAAGAGAGCAAATTCCTGTCTCATCCTGGCTTATATGCTTCTTTAGTGCTGGGATTAAAGGTGTGCACCACCGCCCGGCCTTTGTGGCTTAGTAGTGTGGTTACTGGGGTTAAAGGTGTGTGCCACCACCGCCTGGCTTGTGGGGCTGACTAGTGTGGCTAGCTTTGCACTCTGATCTTCAGGCAAGCTTTATTTACTAAAACACAAGAAAACTATCACTATAGACTTGTTATGTTCTATTATGTTCTGAAGTTCCAAGGCAGTCATGGCCCTCAACCTGTGAGCTCTGATCCTTCTTCCAGGTGAATGATACCTGACTGGATTTGAATTAGAGGATGACTAGCTAATGTCTGCCTCGGAGTTGTTTGCTTGTTAGAGGGCAGAATTATCTTAAGGTCGCAAAAGTCTTGTTTGTTGACTGCTGGGGGGGGGGGGCATCTTGAGTAATAAATTTTGTTCTTTCTTTTAGGAGTCTGTCTTCCAGAATATTTGATAGTTTGTCTATTTAGAGTTTGTAGGTGTGTATTCCACCTAGAATGAATTTCTGTGGTTGTTATGGAGGTTAGAGTCTACTGCCGTTGCTCTCCAGGGATCTGCACAGTTGCCCTAGCCCCAGGATTCCCTGAAAACACCTGCATTTCCACCTCAGCCTTGCCTGGACTGGTACTTTCTTTAGGACACATCCTTTCATCTAATATTCAATATGTCTGCCTGGTTTTGATCCTTTGCATTTCACAGTTTGCTGAGTACTGACTTCTGAATGAGTGAGCATAAGTAAATTCTGTAACAGTATCTGACACTTAGTCAGCACTGTGCATTTTTTGCTGCAATACAGCGACAGGTAACAGTGACTTACAATCCTTGTCCTTGCTTCATCTGTGCTGTCACTCGTTTTTCTTTAAGGAGAATACACTTATAATCTTTTCATCCCTGACATTTGGTAGGGCTTGCTGGTGAAGTCACTTATGCCTGGACCCTCCTTTGTGTTTATTTTATACCAGTTCGGTATGACTGTTACAAGGTGTGGCAGAGCCTGTTCTCAGCCCAGCCTCTCCTGAGTTGATGTGGGACCATGTTACTAATAGAGGCAACAAAGTGTGAGGAACTGGGGTGTGTCCTGGCAGGATCACACACCGGAAGCGCCAGCTGCTGAGCCACTTCAGTGGTTGTCCTCACAGACCTTAGTCTCTGCCTCACAAGGTCAGAAAGCGTCTCTGCCCAACCCTGCTCTGGCCCAGGTGGATTTTGTGTTCAGAGCAGTGAGTGAGTTTCAAGCCTCGACTTTGAGGCTTTAGGGGGCTTTCAGCTATGTTCTGTAGCTCCTAACCCTAAGTCAGGAGTTATATAGTCAGCTGTCTATTCCTGTTTGAATTTTTGTAAGTCCTGTATATCTTTGAATTAATTTATATTGCCTTGGTTTTCAGCTTATTTTTCGTGTAAAACTGGTAATCTTTTATTTGCGTTTTAATAGCTCCAGTATTAGAAGTTGTGCCAATGTGTAGACATGTTGTGACACCTGAGCTTCTAAATAAGACCTCAGTATCTGGGTAAGAGGATAGCTTCTGGCCTTTGGCTCTGCCTTGCTTTCACACTACAGACATGCTCTTCAAGCCAGCAAACAAGTAGGCCTGGTATTCCCGTCTTCAGTGCGTCACTGATGGTAAACTCTGGAGCTTTCCTTCTGCTGGCTGTCCTTTACGTGTATCTATGTATCTGCTGAACCAGCTTCCCGATGTCACTCATGGCATTATATGTGTTTGGGTTTATTGTTTCATCGGTTTTCCTGTTTCGTATTTCTTTTGTTTTGTTCTATCTGCCATTACATTTTGTGTATTTTTTCTAGTGTGATTTTTTTTTTCTGGCTCCAGGATTGTCATTTGTTTTTTTTGTTTGTTTTGTGGGTTGTTGTTTTTTCTGGGTTTGTTTTTTTGGTTTTTTTTTTTTTTTTTTGATTTGTTGTTTTGAGATATGCTCCTTACTATTTAGGCTTGGCCGGCCTAGTGTTCTGACCTTGAACTCACAGAGATCCTCTTGCCTCCACTTTCTGAGAGCTGGGATTAAAGGTGTGCACCACCACTCCTGGCCACTTTTAGATTGTTATTTTTTCAGCTAATCAAGGAGCTGGTTAGCACTCTGGACACCTCCATAGTACACAAGAGCTTGTTCACCTTTGGGTTTGGGTTTGATTGTTCCCAAATTTCCTAATGAGATATTTTTAGTTTCACAAACTATGTGCATAGCTACTGTTAATCTGAAGCCATCTGCCTGCTTATTCTTTGCTCTACTTTATGTCAGACATTTCCTTGGGAATTTATTTATTTGTCTACTGGTAGCAAATTATCACATTTCTCAAAAACCATTTTTCCCCCTCTTGAGCAGCAACCTCCTTGGAATAGCATTTGAGGTTGACCTGAATTCTACTCATGAGCTTGATGATGTGCCTGCGTTTGGAGTGCTGTATTTTGTGATGCAGTTTATGAATAATCACCTTAAGTCTGGGCCTCACATAAGGGCTGCACCAAAGCCAGACCTGGCCTTGAATCTGGCGGATGGCTGGTCTGTGCCCTTGCAGTCCTACCTAAGCTAGGAAGCAGAAAACCCCTCGAGAGAGAGTAATATGAGGCTCTTTGCTGAGCTTTGACGCAGGAAAGACTCTAGGCACCTCTGTGTTAGTACCCAAGTATGAAGGTCCTGCTGACCAGAGGATGTGGCAGCTAGTATACACAGCATACACTCCGAAGAAACTAGAAATCCACATTTTAACACCTTTATTCATCACTTTACCAACTTGACACAATGTTAATAACAGCAAACACAATGAACAAAATGTTGATAGACACAAGCTGTTTCACTAAAGCAGTATGAGCCAGGCCATGATGATATGTCCAACAGGTGACTAGATGCTTGCACTCTATAGCAGGGACAGGAGGGCCATCCTGACCTGACAGACATTCTGAGCAAGTGTGGTTTAGATGTCAGCATAAGTGTCTTTCTGAGTCAGAACACCCATGACATCAACATTACCCATCACACTGATAAAGTGATACACTCCATATTCCTTAACATTAATAAAATAGTGTAAAAATATATATCACATATATATATATATAAACTTAACTCCCTTTCTTGAAAAAAAAACTTAGTACAAACTAGTAGTAGTAGCATATTATTCCTTTCAAGTTTAAGTTGTACAGGCTTCCTTTGTTGTTTGGCTTGGTTTAGTTTAAGAGGTCTAAAGGAAGAGATAATTTAAGCGTCCCAAGATGGCCACACCCCTGAACCGTGAAGTTCAGAATGGTCAGTAGTATATTGGTGAAGAAGAGCAGTTTGGCTCAGTGTTGGGAGGATATTCTGTCTATTGATGTCTTCACAGTACAGCTAAATTGTCACCCTTGCCATACTTAAAAGGTGTTGGCAGGACTTTCCCATGTGCCCATGCTGTAGCCAGGTAGTATACAAGTCTGCAGAGAGAGAGCGCGAGCCAAGCAGGGAGACAGGCAGTTTTTCCTGAAAGGGGACAGGTGGCAGATACCATAGGTGTCTGTGCTGTGGCATTTGTCTCCATCCTCCCAGCCAGATCTAATGCCAAAGCAGCTACAGAACAGTATGTAGATGCATGGGTACAGTTGCGTGCCAGTAAGACTGTTCATTAAAACAGGCACTGGGGCAGCCCAGGGCAGGCACCGTCCTCTCTGGAAGAGACTGCAGAAAAGTGCAGCCCATTTCATAGCTATCTCCATCCGTCGTAATGTCCCTATGCCCCTGTGTAAGATAGGATACTGAAAGGTGTAAAAATACTCCAGTATAAATATAGATCTCTCGACAATATTTAAACATGTAATTTGAATTTTGATCTTGGTAAAACATTCCCACTAAATAGTTGCTTATCTTATAGTATTAAATAGAAATAAATAGGTATTCTACTAGAGTCAGTGCTCGCAAGCACCCTCCTGCCTGCCTACTTTCCTTCCCTGACACTTAGATACCGTTTGCATTGTTCTTCCTGCAACCTGTATCTTTCTCCTGAGTGTCACCTGCAACAGAACATCTCTGTCACTCCAACCCATGTCCCTGAGTGTTGCTCCTGACAGAACCTCTCCTTATTTTCTTGCTGTCACAGCTTAAGAGAACCTGTCTTTGTCTCCTGGGTGTCAGCTCACAGCAGAGTATGTCTCTGTCTCCTAGGTCATCTCCTGCTTGTCCTCCTCTGAAAGAACCTGTCCCTGTCTCTTGTGTGTCTGTCACCTAATAGCACATGGCTCTGGATCTCAGTTTACATGCTATGCAGTTGTTGGGTTTTTTTTTTTATTCACAGATAGATACTGAATTCTATTTATCCATGATTAGTAAAAGCTAATTGGTATCGCATAAAACATGCAACAGAGACAAACACCCTACCTGTGTGTTCAAATCAGAAACTGAGGAGAATGCACATCTGTTTTGTGCAGAAGAGTTGAAGTCCGATCAGTTTCTATGTCGAGAGGGTACAGAGATGCCACACAGACTCCATAGACACTTTAAACTGACGATATGAAAACACTAAGTCTTCGTGATCTAATTGTTACTGCCCTTTCCTGGCTAGATGACCTCATCTAGAGGGAGGGTGTATTTTCAGAGTTAAACTTAACACTGACTAAAGAAAGGTGCTGTGAGGGAACGGGGTAAGAAGGGACACAATGAAGACCACTTGTCGGGCGTAATTCTACATGGGAGGGCCTAGGACTGTCCTTGGGTTCTGTGTGAGGACAGTGAGAGCCAGCAAGGCAGTGACCCAGTTTTCATTTACAGAGCCCAAGTTGTATTAGAGCAACAGCTCCCATCTCACACTGGTGGAACAACTACCCAGACCCAAATGCATTCTGAAGCCTTTATCTTCTGCTGAGGATTTTACTGGGGTGAGGGGTGGGAGCTGAGATGGTAGTTCTGGCCTTCCGCCCAGAACCTTTACGGGCTTGCCACTCTGCGCTGTTCTGTTCAGTGCTGTGCCCAGCACTTGGGCGACGTGTCCTCCATGAGGCTGGACATTTGCACTGTTTCCTTGGTGCTCCTAGGCAGGCAACCGTGGTCAGTCTGGCATCTCGGCCCTTTGAATAGGAGACTGTGTCCAGGATACACTATGGGGTCAGGAAAACATCTGACCCACTGCATGGTACAGGGACCCTCAAATCTACCCTAGCCTATCCCTCTACCCTGACCCATATGCAGTCACCTCCTGGTGTGTTTGCATGTGTTCTATTTCACTCAGCTATGCTGGTGGGAATTAGGCTGTTCATAGGCAGTAGAAAAGAACAGCCTCGGATCAAGAGACTACCAGCCACGTGGGGACTAGGGGTTCTGGAGAAGGGTATGAGAGGTGCCAGTGTCCTTTTATTTCACCAGACCAGCAAGGCCGGATTACAGAATGGAGGTGCCACTACTTGGTTTTTAATGCCAAGTACTGCAGACTCCCAGAATCTTGGGATGGCATTGACTGCTAGACCATCTCCACCCTCCAGTTGTGGCTGTGTTGAGGGCCTTGTGTTTCTTGCTCAGGCAAGTAGGCAGTCTTCCCTCGTGCTGCAGTGAAGGCTTGCTCTCTAGGCCCCAGAGGAGTGAATGATGTAACTGTGTGCTGTGACCATGAGGAAGGCATCTTTGCTGTCTACTTGTGCTGTGTCAAGCCGTGTAAGACGTCCCATCCTCAACAACCACCTGCGCTGGTAGCCATGTCCTGAGACCACTGCAGGTTCTTTCTAAGAACAAGACCACGTAGTTCAGCAAGTTTCATGCAAGGGTGGGGTTGTGTTAATGCAAAGGAACAGTTGTTGTGGAACTGTAATGATGGTAGCACATGCCATTGGGCCTGCATAAGTGGTGCCCTCACACATGGATGAGCTGAGTCATGTGTTCTCTCCTGTGGCAGAAAAAGAACCCCTGGTAGATGCTGCATGTCTTTCGGGGGAGCTACTTCTGGTGTCCAGTGTCCTGCCTGCATTTGCACTCAAGAGAAAGGTTAGGAAAACTGAACCGAGAGGTGGCTTCATAGAGCTGAAGATACATACTTTTGAACAAGGCACAGCATAACTTGCCTTGGCAAAAGCTTCCATCTCAGCCCAGTAGAACAACTACGCAGGCCTGGTCCTGACCAAATGTCTCAGCATCCTGTGTGTCCCAAGCTGGTAATGGGACAGGACAAGGAGAAAGTCATGGCAGCTTCATGTTCTGGATCTCTCTGGATCACTCTTGAGACCAAGCACATAGTCTTATCCTTTCTCAGAACGGCACTGAAAAAACTTCCAGCTTCATGCTCCAAGTCACTCCCCTGGTCACCAGGTGCTTCCTTGTCTCTTGACCACTCTCAGCACAGACTTGGTTGATGAGCACTTATGTGTGTGTGCGTGTCTGTGTGCACATGTGTACTAATGTGAGCTGTTCCACATACACAATGACACACTTCCCGTGGTCAAGAAATTGGCCTGTTTAGGATTACTCTGTGCACTTGGTTAGTTGCTTAGCTCCTACTGCCCTAGAAGTATCTGGATAAGTCAGTGTGAGTTCTGATGTCTGCTCTGTTCATCCTTATACCTACCAACGCCTCAAACACCCCCTGTTACCTGCAGGTCAAGTGGCCAGTGTGGTATGATCCTGGGAGACAGTTTGGAAATAGCAGTCCACTTCCCAGCTGTGGACAGAGCAGGTATGTTAGGAAAGGACAATGAATCGCTGCCCACACCTGGGGTCTGAGAGAGAAGTGTCAAAGCACCCAACAGGAGGAGGCCTGGGCACTGCCCCCACCATTGCCTAGTGGAGGTGCATTTTGAGTTCTGCCCAGTTGAACATAGGAATGTAATGAAGTGCAATGGGTTTCAGTCCTGTGCCTGGCACCTGCAGTGTCCAGAACTTCGGCCTGCAAGGCTACTTGCTCCCCTGCACCTTCTGGTCATAGGTGCCTGCATGCTTGTAGCCAGGCACATAACCTGACTCATCCACCAGGTCCACGCGGCCAGCTTTGCCCTTGCCCTTTCCCGATTGGTCAAAGCGCTCTTTGTGGGAGCCTGTGAACTTGGTTGTGTCTGTGAGCCGTGACACGGTAGGTGAGGACACAGCTTTCTGAAAGAGAACAGAAGAGGGTGTTAGTACACACCAAGTGAGGGAGCTGGGTGAAAATTGCCACATTTCAGTGGGAGGTGGCATGGGCTGTAGAAGGAGCTGGCAAGGGTGTGACTCTACTGGGCCACATGTCCAGACAAGGGATCACCTCTCCTGCCTCCAGGTTAGCCCCAAACTTATAGGGCTAACAGGTATATGGGGTCATGGTTTCCCCAAAGGCAGATGCAATCATGAGTGCTCGGCCCCACCCGTGCCTTGCTCCCTCACCGTGACACCAGAGATGACTGGCGCTCGTCCCTCAATGAGCCGGTGCACCTCACGCACAGCCTCCTCGCTGCTCTTATCCTTGAACCGCTTCTTGGCCAGCTCCTCCAACGCCTCCTGGAATTGCTCGAAGGTGATGGTCCTGCAGGACTTCCCTCTGTGGGTAACAGACCTTATAAGTCCTCAGGCAGCAGCCCTCTGGGACCAATCCCGCATGTATACCACCCCTGATCCCTACTGGTCACAACCAAAAGTCACCAGCAACTGCCAACAGCCTGGAAAAAATAAGGAAGCATATTCTTTAAAATTGCCAAGTTTCGGGGCTTTTATGTCTGTTTCACCGTGGTCTCTCCTGGGTGGGAGAGCAGAGGGAAAACCAGGAAAAGTGATCCCCTTATCTCTTCCAGAGACCCTAATCAGTCAAGGAGCAGGAGGGAGCCCAGGCCTAAACCTGGGTCAGAAGTGGCCCGTGGGGCCTAAGGCCAAGGGTATCATAGTAGGGCACGCTTAGGAGGGGCCATAAGACCTGTGCTGAGCAGTGTGAGCAGCCTGGTCAGCAGGATGACTCGCCTGGAGCCCTCACCCACCCTGTACACCCGGCCACCAGGGAGCATCTCAGATAGCCTGTCATTTCACAGACTCCTCCATGCAAAGGCTATTCAGGAAGTATTTTAAAAAGTTATTTGTAGTAACTTTAAAGCATTTTCAACTTGGCATTCACCTGCAACTAATCCAAATAAGTGAAGTTTCAATGTTTTGACATAATGTAATCGAGGCACAGATGTGCAGGTCCTGCACGATGCTGTGGAGTTTTAATCAAATGGCCCGAGATAAGCTACCTCCTATGGCCAGGCAGGCCACTGACACTAACTAGAGCTAAGAGCTGGCAAAACCCCAGTGGGGCTTTTATGGCTGACCATCGTATAGGATCCAGAGCAGCCAAGTGAGGTTAAGAAAACAAAAAGCAGAGGCAGAGAGGCACCGCAATCAGGAAGAGGCTTTGGGGGACCAGCGCAGCGGCAGACGCAAGCGGCAGGGACCTGCGCGGACAGGCACGGAGGCAGACACAAGTGGCGGGGATGGGCGTGCAATAACGAGAGCAGATCGCCCTACTACAATTAAATCAAAGAGGTAGGCCTTTTGTTGGCGAGGTCACTGGCAAATGGGGAGCCTGGTCCTGTCCTAAAGACCCTTCAGAGGGGTGAGAGGGTTCTTGGCCTGCGGCAGGATCCAGGAAACAGAGCAAGGGCATTTTGTAAGCGGAGCCCTTGGCCAGCAGGGAAACCTGATCCGGTTTTTAAAAGACCCATTAGATAGGATCAATAGGAGGAGATGGGCAGGCGCCAAGGCAAGAATTCACCCAATAATCTGAAAAACAACATGAAAACACCAGAACCCAATGATCTTACAACAGAAGTATTTGAACAACCTAACACAGAAGAAGTGGGAAAAAAATGACTTTATGAAAGCAATAGAGTCCCTTAAACAACATGTAAAAAACGCCCTTATAGAAATGGATGAGAAATATAACAAAAAGTTTGAAGAAATGAGTAAATACGTACATGATACCCTGGGAAACCAAGAAAAAACGATCAATCAGGTATTGGAAACAGTTCAAGAATTGAAAACTGAAATGAAGGCAAGGAAGAAAATACAAACTGAGGACCAGCTGGATATGGAAAATCTAGGTCAACGAGCAGAGTCTACAGAAACAAGCATAATCAATAGAATACAAGAGATAGAAGAAGGAATCTCAGATTCTGAGGACACCATAGAGAAAATAAACGAACAGATCAAAGAAAACAGCAAAGCCAACAAATTCTCAACACAAAACATTCAGGAACTATGGGACACAATAAAAAGACCAAACCTAAGAATAATAGGAATAGAAGAAGGAGAAGAGTCACAGCTCAAAGGCCCAGAAAATATTTTTAACAAAATTATGGAAGAAAACTTTCCCAACATAAAGAAAGATATTCATTTAAATATTCAAGAAGCATACAGAACACCAAACAGACTGGATCAAAGAAAAACATCTCCTCGCCATATAATAATCAAAACACAAAATATACAGGTTAAGCCGGGCGGTGGTGGCGCACGCCTTTAATCCCAGCACTCGGGAGGCAGAGGCAGGCGGATCTCTGTGAGTTCGAGACCAGCCTGGTCTACAAGAGCTAGTTCCAGGAGAGGCTCCAAAACCACAGAGAAACCCTGTCTCGAAAAACCAAAAAAAAAAAAAATATACAGGTTAAAGAAAGAATATTAAGAGCTACAAAGGAAAAAGGGCAAGTAACTTATAAAGGTAAACCGATCAGACTTACACCTGACTTCTCTATGGAAACCATGAAAGCCAGAAGGTCCTGGATAGATGTACTGCAGAAGCTAAGAGACCATGGATGCAAACCCAAACTACTATACCCAGCCAAGCTATTGTGCACTATCAATGGAGAAAACAAGACATTCCAGGATAAGAACAAATTTAAACAATACATAGCCACAAATCCAGCCCTACAGAAAGTAATAGAAGGAAAATCGCAACCCAAGGAATCCAACTCTACCAACACTGCCTACAATAACTCAGGCATCTAGCGACCCTTCACCAGCACATCTCAAAGAAGGGAGACACACAATCTCTACTACCAAAAACAATAAGAATAACTGGAGTAAACAACCACTGGTCATTAATATCACTTAATGTTCACCTATAAAAAGGCACAGGCTAAGAGAATGGATACGAAAACAGGATCCAACATTCTGCTGTTTGCAAGAAACACATCTCAACCACAAAGACAGGCACCTACTCAGAGTAAAGGGTTGGGAAAAGGTGTTTCAAGCAAGTGGTTCTAAGAAAAAAGCAGGTGTGGCCATACTAATTTCTAACAAAACTGACTTCAAACTAAAATCAATCAGAAGAGACCGAGATGGTCACTTTATACTCATAACAGGAACAATTCATCAGGAGGACATCTCAATCCTGAATATCTACGCCCCTAATATAAAAGCACCCACTTGTGTAAAAGAAATATTACTAGAACTCAAGGCAGACATCAAACCACACACACTAGTAGTAGGAGACTTCAACACACCTCTCTCTCCAAGGGACAGGTCAATCCGACAGAAACCTAATAGAGAATTAAGAGAATTATTGGAGGTAATGAATCAAATGGACTTAACAGACATCTATAGAACATTCCACCCAAATAGGAAAGAATATACCTTCTTCTCTGCAGCTCATGGAACCTTCTCAAAAATTGACCACATACTTGGAAACAAAGGAAACATCCACAGATACAAAAAAAGTCAGTGTCCACCTGTGTCCTATCTGATCACTACGGATTAAAGTTAGAAGGCAACAACAATGCTACCCACAGAAAGCCGACAAACTCATGGAAACTGAACAGTCAACTACTGAACCACACCTGGGTCAAGGAAGAAATTAAGAAAGAAATTAAAGTCTTCCTTGAATTTAATGAAAATAAAGAGACAACATACTCAAACCTATGGGACACAATGAAAGCAGTGCAAAGAGGAAAGTTCATAGCACTAAGTGCCCACTTAAAGAAAACGGAGAATGCATACATTGGGGACTTAACAACATAGCTGAAAGCTCTAGAAAAAAAAGAAGCAGACGCGCCCAGGAGAAGTAGAAGACTGGAAATAATAAAACTGAGGGCTGAAATCAACAAAATAGAAACACAGAAAACAGTCCAAAGAATCAATGAAACAAAAAGCTGGTTCTTGGAGAAAATCAAAAAGATCGATAAACCCTATCCAAACTAATTAAATGACAGAGAGAGAACACGCAAATAAATAAGATCAGAAATGAAAAGGGGGACATAACCACAGACACAGAGGAAATTCAGAGAGTCATTAGATCTTACTACAAAAGCCTGTATGCCACAAAACTGGAAAATACAAAAGAAATGGACATTTTTTTAAATAAGTACCCTATACCAAAGCTAAACCAAGACCAGGTGAATGATCTAAATAGACCTGTTACTCGCGAAGAATTAGAAACGGTTATCAAAAATCTCCCTTCGAAAAAAAGCCCAGGACCAGATGGTTTCAATGCAGAATTCTACCAGAACTTCCAAGAAGAACTAATACCTATACTCCTTAATGTATTTCACAATATAGAAACAGAAGAGTCATTGCCAAATTCCTTTTATGAAGCTACAGTTACCCTGATACCAAAACCACACAAAGACCCAACCAAGAAAGAGAATTACAGGTCTATCTCACTCATGAACATCGACGCAACAATTCTCAATAAAATACTGGCAAACCGAATCCAAGAACACATTAGAAAAATTATCCATTATGATCAAGTAGGCTTCATCCCAGAGATGCAGAGCTGGTTCAACATACACAAATCTATCAATGTAATCCACCATATAAATAAACTGAAAGAAAAAAACCATATGATCATTTCATTAGATGCCGAAAAAGCATTCGACAAAATACAACACCCCTTTATGATAAAGGTCTTGGAGAGAATAGGGATACAAGGGTTCTACCTAAATATAATAAAAGCTATTTACAGCAAGCCAACAGTTAACATTAAATTAAACGGAGAAAAACTCAAAGCCATCCCACTAAAATCAGGAACACGACAAGGATGTCCACTCTCTCCACACCTCTTCAATATAGTGCTTGAAGTTCTAGCAATAGCAATAAGACAACATAAGGAGATCAAGGGGATTCGTATTGGAAAGGAAGAAGTTAAGCTTTCGTTATTTGCAGATGATATGATAGTATACATAAGCGACCCCAAAAATACTACCAAAGAACTCCTACAGCTGATAAACATCTTTAGTAATGTTGCAGGATACAAGATCAACTCCAAAAAATCAGTTGCCTTCCTACACACTAAGGATAAGGAAGCAGAGAGGGAAATCAGAGAAGCATCACCTTTCACGATAGCCACAAATAGCATAAAATATCTTGGGGTAACTCTGACCAAGGAAGTGAAAGATCTATTTGACAAGAACTATAAAGAAACTTCAAAATTTCTTTTGAAGAAAGAAATTGAAGAGGACACCAGAAAATGGAAGGACCTCCCTTGCTCTTGGATTGGGAGGATCAACATAGTAAAAATGGCAATTCTACCAAAAGCAATCTATAGATTCAATGCAATCCCCATCAAAATCCCATCAA